GGTAAGAAGCAATTTCTCCCTGATGTGAAAGGTACTGCTCTAGAACCTTGTGTTGACTGTATCTATGGTAAACAGCATAGGGTTTCCTTTCAAAATTCTCCTCTATCTAGAAAGTCCAGTCCTCTAGAGTTAGTTCATACAGATGTATGTTACATGAAAGATAGGTCGTTGGGTGGAGTATTGTACTTTGTTACTTTCATTGATGACTATGCTCGAAAGATTTGGTGTTTTTCTTTGAACGAGAGACTAGCAAGAAGTTGAAGTGTGTTCGAGCAGATAATGGTGGTGAGTATAGGGGTCCGTTTGAGAAGTATTGCCGAGACCATGGCATTAAACTTCAGAGGAGTGTTCCGAAGACTCCACAACATAACGGCGTGCAGAAAGAATGACCAGAACTATCACCGAAAAGGTTAGGTGTATGCCCTCAAATGCAAAGCTACCTAAATCATTTTGAGGTGAAGCCATGCAGACAGCAGTTGATTTGATCAACCTATCTCCCTTAGTTCCGTTGGATGGTGATCTACCACAATGAGTTTGGACAGGGAAAGATGTCTCATTTGGACATTTGCGAGTTTTTGATTGTCGTGCCTTTATTCATATTCCCAACGAAAAAAGATCGAAGCTTGATGGAAAATCCAAGCAGTGTATATTCTTGGGGTATGGAAATGATGATTTTGGGTACAGACTTTGGGATCCTGTAGAGAAGAAAGTTTTCAGAAGTAGAGATTTGATCTTCTTTGAAGGCCACATCATTGATGATATGGGAAAGGGCGAGATGCCAGAATCTTCACCTGAGATTCCTGTTGATCTAGATCCAGTTCCTCCACAATCAGATGATTCTCCTGAAGGGGAAACTGAGACAGAGCAGGATGGAGAGTTTGATGATGATCCTGCTACTGAAACAGAGACACCACCGGTTTCATCACCTCCTGTTCAGCCTAGGAGGTCCACCGGAGACAAGAGACCTTCCACAAGGTATAATGCTCATGAGTATTTGTTGCTTACTGATGGGGGAGAGCCAGAGTCGTATGAAGAGGTTCTTAGCAATGAGCAGAAAGATCAGTGGTTAGCAGCCATGCAAGATGAGATCAAATCCTTGCATGAGAATAACACGTATGACCTGGTGAAGCTTCCTAAGGGCAAGAGAGCACTCAAGAATAAATGGGTGTTTAGACTGAGAACAAGTCAGAACAGCTCACAACCGAGGTACAAAGCTAGATTGGTTGTGAAGGGATTCAATCAGAGAAAGGGCGTAAACCTTGATGAGATCTTCTCTCCTGTTGCAAAAATGTTTTTGATCCGAGTTGTGCTTGGGATAATAGTTAGTTTGAATCTTGAGATTGAACAGCTTGATGTGAAGACAACCTTCTTGCATGGTGATTTGGAAGAAGAGATTTACATGGAGCAACCAGATGGGTTCCAGGAGAAGAGGAAAGAAAAGCTTGTATGTCGTCTCAACAAAAGCTTGTATGGGTTGAAGCAAGCTCCGAGGCAGTGGTACAAGAAGTTTGCTGCTTTCATGATAGGGCAGAGATACCAAAGGACTACAGCCGATGACTGTGTGTTTGTGAAGAAATTCTCTGATGGTGATTTTATAATTCTTTTGTTTTATGTCGATGACATGCTGATTGTTGGTCATGATACTGCAAAGATTGTCAAGTTGAAAAAGGAGTTGAATAAGTCCTTTGCGATGAAGGATTTGGGTCCGGCTAGACGAATCCTTGGGATGAAGATTTCTTGTGACAGACAGAATGGGAAGCTTTGGGTATCTCAAGATAAGTATATCGAGAAGGTTCGTGATAGGTTTAACATGAGCGGTGCTAAGGAAGTCTCGACTCCACTTGCGGGGCATTTTAAGCTAAGCAAAATATAGTGTCCTAAAAGTGAGAAAGATAAGGAAGAGATAAAAAAGGTTCCTTATGCTTCGGCAGTTGGCAGCCTGATGTATGCGATGGTTTGCGCAAGGCCAGACATAGCTCATGCACTTGGTGCTGTTAGTCGGTTTCTCTCCAATCCTGATAAGGAGCATTGGAATGCTGTGAAATGGATTCTCAGGTATCTTAGGGGTACTTCCAAATTGAGTCTTTGCTTCGGCAAAGGGAAGACCATGTTGGATGGATATACTGATGCTGACATGGGAGGTGACCTTGATGGTGGGAAGTCTACTTCTAGATACTTGATGACTTATGGAGGGGGAGCAGTTTCATGGCAGAGTAGGTTGCAGAAGTGTGTTGCCTTGTCTACTACAGAGGCAGAGTTTATCGCAGCTACTGAATCTTGTAAGGAAGCACTTTGGTTGCAGAAGTTTCTACAAGAGATTGGGTATGAAGAAAGAGAGGTGTGTGGTGTATTGTGATAGCCAGAGCGCTATTCACTTGGCGAAAAATTTCACATTTCATTCGCGGTCTAAACATATTGATGTGAGATATCATTGGATTCGGGATATGTTAGAGTCCAGGCGTTGTTTCTTGAGAAGATCCATACGGATGACAACGGTGCCGATATGTTAACGAAGACTGTGACTAGAGACAAGCTTCTATTTTGTAGGCAGGAAGCGGGTTTGGTTTTACCCCCCAATTGAGGTGAAGGGGGAGATTACTGGGCTGGTTCCCCTCACTCAGGCCGAACGAAAGTTGAAGTCAAAATCCAATTGGGATTCGTTTTGGCTTTTGACCGTGGGAAACAAAAACCCACTTGGTCTTGGATTTTGTTTTTGACTGCTTATAAAAGCAACGCTGCACAAGTCTTTGTGTGTGTGTGTTTTTCAGGCGAGAAGAGAAGAAAAGTTTGGTAGTCGTGCATTGTTTTTGTACGAGGGAAAAAGAAAGAAAGTTAGGGTTTAGTTTTCAGTTTAGCTCTCTTTTGTGAGATCCTTCCAGTCTTACTTTGTGATAGGGGTGTGTGGAAGAGTATTGTTGTAATCCACTTTTGGGTGAAGTTCTGTGTATCCACCGGTTGGTGAAGACTGCTTCCCATTATTGTGATAGTGGAGATTTGACTGTTGTTACAGTCCCGTGGTTTTTCTCAATTTGGGTTTTCCACATAAATTCGTGTGTCTATTTTAATTTATCAGTTCTTGAATTATTTGCTTGTTTGTTTGGTTGTCTTATTTTATTGGTAGTGGGAAAGGAATTTTTACTTGGGAATTGTTTCCACTGGTTTGTTGTGTTTATACCCTTTCCGCTACAACACAAGACGACGACCAAAAATTTTACAAGAGGGAATTTGTTTATTGTTTTTACGATTTCAAAAACATCAATTTTAGCGAATTTAAAGTTAGTAGAATTAAGCATAAATTTTAGCAAATTAGGAGTGTTTTGGCCTTTTTAGTGGTTAATAATGTTTTTGTGGATCGTAATAATTATATAATTTACTATTAAGATTAACTTGTTATTGAAATACGATATTATTGGCGTTGCTTGTAATTCATACGTAATTTTAATAACTTAATATAATTATGATATTGGCCTCCTTTATTATCAAAAAATAAGGATGGTGATATATTTTTCTTCAAGATTTGCAGTCTACATGAACATTTTATGCGCAAAATGGTCCAAATTTTCCATATAATATATTAAAAATATGATATGTTTGTTATGAGATGATACATATTGATCGTTTTGCCTTAGTTAAATGCTGATAGAGGAAAAAAGTTTGTTCTTAAAATTACAACATTTCATGGATATAAGAAATTTTTACACATATGTGTTAGTTATACAGCGATGTAACTATTTTCTTAAAGTAAAAAAATTACTTTTTGTTACTTGCCACGATCGATTTCACCGAAATTCATTTAGCTGTTGGAGTTGAAGGAGTACTAAACTAAAAGTTTTGGGAACACGAGACTAGAAATACCTTAATTAAGACTCAAAAATGTCTAGGTACCCAACCAAAAAGAATAATAAAACAAAACATTAATGAATAAGAAAATAAAATAAGTTTTTTTAGAGTTCGGTGCAGCTTGTTGGTGGAGCAGTGCAAAATGCAAATGGCTCGTGTTTTGAGTTCAGGTTTACTGCTGCCAAGGCGAAGAATCTTTTGCAGTTCCAAGAGCTGTTGAATGTTTTAACATGTAGTAGTACTTAGGGTATTAATAATTACCATTATTTCTATTTAATAACGTCAGTTTCATGTAATGTTAATCCAAACCAAAAAAAAGAAAAAAAACAAAAAGAAAAGGAGAACGTAACATGCAAAGTGCTAAGTGCTAACTACGTCGCGCATGTTTGGAAGGATTCACTTTTGCTTATTACTCCTCCGGGATACATCAACAATATTATAATAAAACTGGGGATCACAACGTATATTATCTCTATCTCTATCTCCATTTAACTTTCTTGAAAAGAAAAAATAAATAGTGCTTGATTAATCTTCAAAATATCTTTCTTGCAAAGTAGTAGCTGCAGAGTTAGCTGATTACAAACCTCTTTCTATCTCATTTCGTCAACTCACGCTCTTAAAGTCTCACTGGTTTGCTTTTTTCACTCTTCATCAATTGTTTCACAATACAAGTTATCAATTATCACTTTGTCACTTTGACTCACTTCTACTCTTTACCAGCAAAAAAATTAAAAAGGCAAATGAAAACCTTTTATAAAGCCAAGATTTGAGTACTGAGAAGGATTGAGAAAGGCTTCTTTTTAGATCTGCTTAAGGGTCAAGATTCCCTTGGAAAGAAGATTAAAGAAAAAGAGCGGATTTGCACAATCAATTAAGTCCTTCATCAAAAAGGTACGAATCAATCTAAAATCGCATTTCTATGTTTGTATTAGCTAGATATATAAGCAGTAAACTATTAGTTTGACCTCTCCTTGTTGTTTTCATTTTTCGGATACAACTCTTAATCTAGATCTTGTGATACTATTATAATTAAATTTGTTTTTTTTCCCTCTTCAGAGATCTGTTGTGCTGCTTGATGTTTGTCATATTATCAAACAGCAAATTTCTCAAAGTTAAGCTATACCATTGAAGTCCAAAACATAACTAAATCTCACCGTAAGATGCCACCAGCTGTTAGGATTCCAGGATATGTTGAACTAGTAGTGGGCTTAGATGATGAGGCAGAGATTATAATTAAACGACTCACAAGAGGAACTAAACATTTGGATGTGGTTTCGATTGTGGGTATGCCTGGATTAGGCAAAACTACTTTAGCAAAGAAAATGTATCATCATTCCCGCATCTCTCATCATTTTGATGTCCGTAGCTGGTGTACTGTATCTCAAGTACACAACAAAAAGAATTTGTTGGTTGAGATTTTAAGTGGTCTTGACAAAGATCTTGCTGACGGGTACTCAAAAATGAGCGAAGATGATTTGGCTGATAGGCTCTATAAACGCTTGAAGGGCTTAAAATATCTCATCGTCTTGGATGATGTTTGGGATGCTCAAGTTTGTAGTAGCTTGAAGATTTCGTTCCCGACTGATACAGCGGGTTGTCGGATTCTCCTCACCAGCCGGCACGAGAATATTGCTTTGCAAATCAATCCAAAATGTGAACCTCATCACCTTCGTGCACTAACGGATGATGAGAGTTGGGATTTGTTTAAAATGAAGGCATGTTTTGAAGATGGCTATTCATCAGAGCTAGTTGCACGCGGGAGAACAATTGCACAACGTTGCAAGGGATTGCCTCTGATGATTTTAATTATTTCTGGGTTACTTGCGAATACCGAGTTAGATAAGTGGGAAGAAGTTGAAGAAATCCTGAAGAAAGATGGTGCATTTGTTACAAATCAGTGCAAAGAGACTCTTGAGTTGAGTTATCGACATTTGCCTAATTATTTGAGACCATGCTTCCTTTACTTTGGCGCATTTAAAGAGGACCAGCAAATAGATGTTCGGAGGGTGCTACAGCTCTGGATTGCTGAAGGATTCGTAGAGAAAACCGAAGGAGAGAGTTTAGAAGATGTCGCAGAGAGTTACATGATGGAATTGATACAGAGAAATTTAGTGATGGTAACGAGAAAAGGATCCCGAGGTACGGTGAAATCCTGTGTCCTGCATGACTTGCTACACGACTTTGCCATAGTGAAATGCAATGAAGAATCCTTCATTCATCGCTTATTTGCTCATGAGCTTCATATTTCCATCGAGAATGGCACGGTAAACAGGTTGATTGCTGATTCTAGGGGAGTGGAGGAATTCGCGAAACCGACATTGCTCTGGCCTCATTTACGCACTCTGTTGCTGGCAAATAACTCTGGAAATCTTACAGTAGCTCGAAATTGGCAGGGTGTCATACACAAGCTTTGCCAGTCGGAACATCTAAGCGTTTTGGATTTAAGGGAACTATGTGAGTTCGACATCTTTCCAGAAGAGATTTTAGTACTTGTCCACCTGAAATACTTAGCCTTCCCTGTTACATATGATTCACATACCATTCCACCATCAATTTCCGATCTATCGAATTTGGAGACTTTGATTGTTCATGGTGGTGACAGGGTTATGTTGCCAGATACCCTGTGGAGTATGAAAAAGTTAAGGCATCTAGAAGGACCAGAAGAGTGGATATTGCCATCGCCGCGAGAGATCCCTGGAATTGTTTACAAATTTGAGAATCTGCAGACTTTAAAGGATGCAACATTTTGTTGTAACCAACAGATGATGGAAGTGCTGAAAATTTTACCCAATCTCCGTCGACTAGGTTGTTGTCTCGATCTCGATGAAGAATACACTGAGGAGGAGTTCTTCACTGTAACATTTGATCTTTTGAGCCAGCTTGAATCCCTCCACATCCAACTCATGGATGATGTTCCTGCTTATCAACTTCAGTTTCGATTTCCACAGAGACTAAAGAAGCTAACTCTGATCGACGTGGTTCTTCCATGGAGTGAAATTTCAGCAATTGATAAACTGCCAAATCTTGAAGCCCTCACACTGCATTATGCATTTATTGGGCTAGATTGGGACAAGGAAGAAGAAGAAGGGACATTCCCCAAGCTCAAGTTTTTGAAACTAAGGTACTTGAGTCTAGATAGATGGACTGCCTCGGATGATAGTTTTCCGTCTATTGAGACATTGATTCTAGAAGAGTGCTATTCTTTAGACAAGATCCCTTCTTGCATTGCCCAGAGTTCAACTCTTCAGATGATTAAGGTAAAGCAGTGTCCACAAATCGTTAATTCGATAAAAGAGATTTATGAAATGCAGATGGATATGGGAAACGAGGACATAAAGATATATCTTGAAGGCCAACAATTAACCACCGAGTAAGTCTGCAATTTTCTTCTTCTTCTTCTCTTTTTTTCTTCTTTTCTATTTGGGAAACAAAGTAGCATGATTGAATAATCCTATGGTGAATTAAAATAATTTCAGAAGTTAGTTCGGATGGAGCAGTCCAGTTGTTAGATATAGCATGATTGCTTTAACTTATGATTATCTTATACCGATGAGATCATGGATTCCCATTTCATAATTGTTCAATTTAAATTTTCACTTTTAGCGCAATTTGTATTAAACTAAAAATTCAAACTGGACGGATCGTTTTGGAATAGAAGGAGTATATGATTCCAACCAGTTGATGTAATTAAGAAGGAAAAAATGGTCATGTTTATTGTATTATTCTCGGAGTGTTTGACCAGATTGCAAACATTCTTCTTTTAGCTCATTTCTTGACCTGTTTACTTCAAATAACTTACTGCATTTTCTCAACGAACCGTATAACCTTTTGAGTTCGATCTCCTTTCAGGTTGAGAAGTGAAGATTACAGTTGATACACTCGCTTTCTTGGTGTAATTTCTTCTGAAAACCGCGTTTCTAATGAGGTATAGTTGCTGGCTTGCTGTTACTAAGACTGTATCATTACAAGATAATTTTTCATTTGGAACCTGTAAAATGTTTGGTCTTTTAGACAAGATATCAGAGATTTAATATTATTGCAAATTTATCACTGCTATATCCATAGAAACATGTTCACCAGGTATATATATGAATTGTGTTAAGATGTGTTGATCAATATATAAGTTCTAAGGGTCGCGCTTGCCCATTAATTAGCAAATTCGTTTTGAGATATGAGTCAAAGTACTTGTATACTCTGACAAATTTTCAAGTTCTCTCATTCATAGTTTTGGTTCAATTTCTGGAATTTGTAGGTTTCCATTCAGACTCCAAATCTGATGGACAATGACCAGTCCTTGTTCGTTGCGCTCCTTCAAGTTTGAAGCTCTTGCAGCATACTACAGTGTAAAAGTTCAGCCACGAAAACAGGTTTCTTTGAGGAAACAGGTTCAACTGGTGTTGCTAAATCCTCTGTTTTTTCTACTCTGGATGTTTGAATAGCAACAGTTAATAATCAGAAGTTCTTTACTTCTTATGTTTTTGGTACTTTTGCTTTTACTTTAGGAGTATGGATTCTTTCGCTTTTATTTTAGGAGTATGGATTCTTTCTGTGTTAAGATTTGTTAAAGTCTAATCAGGAAATACTTTTGCAAAATATGGTAAAACTTTGTGTACTCTTACAAGGTACTACCATATATGTTCTATGTTTGAACCTACCGTGTGTATTTTTAATGAAGTCAACGATTGTCCTTAGACTAAATCGTACAAAATGTCCTACACATTTAGCCAAAAAATTATTTTTGTCCCATATCTTTGAAAATGTTCATTTTTGTCCCATTTTGTCCAAAACAAAGTGACTTTTTGACTATTTATGTTCCAAAGTAACTTTCCATCCAACCCACCGTCAAATACAAGGGTATTTTTGTCTTTTCATCATAAATTTTAGTTTTTCATTGATTAAAAGATAACATAATAATTAATAAAAAAATTTAAAATTGAAAAAAAAAATTTCTAATCTTTTTACCCTGTAGGGCCACTGTAATTTTTTTATTATTTGTTACAATAAACCGTAAATATATTAAAATAATCAAAAATTCAAAATTCAAAATTAATTGAATTTCAAATTTTTGTATTCTATTTAAAATTTACTACTTTACTTTCACCCACTAATTTTTACCCATTTCTTTACCTCCCAAAACCCTACCATATAAATTAGATGGAGTAATTTTTTTTTCTCCACTTCCATCCCAAACGAAACAATCGTTCAACGCGCCTCCAAATCCTCCAACCTCTACTGCAGATTTCTTCTCCTCCCGCCTCTACTGCCGATTACTACATTATCCAACCTCCACACCAACAGATCTCTCGAGAAATTCTTCTATACATCTGCTGTACTACGTTGGATTGTGCAGCAAGAAACATAAATAATTCAACATTGTAATTTTAGGAGGAAAATTTTCACAAAATTAGGGGGACCATGATATTTTCCAGTACAATGGGTGGGTCATTACACTAAAACAAGGGGATACAACAGCTGTATGGAATAATTTTTCGGATCTCTCCACCCTCCACCAGTCCACCTTTCACTACCACCTGCCAACCTTCCTCAATTGATATCAGCTGCACTCTTTAGCCTCACTGCTCTTTCATTTTCTCGCTTTTTTGGTGCTGTCACTCTCCAGAGGCGCGCTCATCTGTTGAAGAATTTTTTTCGAGTGAGCCGTTACTCAAGGTCAATCCCTTTCCTCCTTCATCTGTAGTTGTAGCTCTTTAGGACTTGTTTAGATCTGTAATTTGATTTAGGAAAAGTATCTGTTTCTGGGGTAATTATGATTCTTCATGGTCTGTTGGCTGATTATCATTTGGATTCATATTTGATTGTGAATTTTGTTACAAACAAAGATGTAGTTTGTTTTTTGTCTGTAAGAACCCTAAGAAACCTTCAAATATATCTATTTCTGTAACGTCTAGATTGATTAAGCTTTTATATATGTCTTCTTGACCATTGAAATGTCGCAGGTAACAAATTTGGTTGCCAATTTGGCTAGAAGGGAAAGGCAAAGAGAAAAGACCAACTTAACTCTTGGTCAGAAGGGAACGAGAGAAGGGAAAGCCAATAAAGCTTTTGTGGACTTAGAGATTAATTTAGACATTTTATTTATTTATTTTTTTAATTCTGATCTTGTTGCATTGTATTGTAATTTTATTAATATAATTTCGCCCATAACTCATGGTTTCTAAATTGGGTCAAATATTTTTTATGGTTGAGACAAAAAAGATGGCCTAAATGGTTAAAGAAAAGAAAAGCCTAAAACGCGGCAAAAATAGAAGGCCCAGATCGTCGAGACAACAGAAGGCCTAAATCGTCAAACCGCCCACCGAGGGACAAAAAGAATAAAGCAATAAATTTTTTTAAAAAAACGAAAAGAAATTAACTAAACAACTTTTTTAAAAATTTCGTATCTTGTGAAATTTTTTTGCTATTTTAATATATTTAATATTTACTGTAAATAAAAATAAAAAAATTATTTGGGGCCCACTCGGTAAAAGGGTATGAAATTTTTTTTTTTCTGATTATTATTATTTTATTTATAAAGTAATGTAAAACCCAAAGCCAGGCTGAAAATACAAAAATACCCTTGTATTTGACGGTGGGTTGGGTGGAAAGTTAGTTTGGCACGTAAATAATCGAAAGGTCATCTTTTTTGGACAAAATGGGACGAAAATGAGCATTTTCAAATATATGAGACGAAATGATTTTTTGACCAAATGTGTAGGACATTTTCTGTGATTTAGTCTTGTCATTAATATCATTTTTCCATTGAGATCAAATATGTTTCTTGGATAGTTCAAACATTAGTTATAAATGCTTCAAAAATATGTTCGGGTACCTTGGAGGACATCATGCCAAGCAATCTTAAACCAAATTGTCCTTCAAGTTGCACCATCTCCTCAGCATTTCTCTCCTCACCAGATTAGAATCCCATATTCTAATGCATTCACTTTATTTTGGTACCGGGAAACTAAGGGGACGTCATGTTTTGTCTTCACAAAATCGAGCTACCCAAATCAATCTACTTCCAAATTTTTTGATTGTGTCATTCTAAAATTATATTGATCAAAATGAATCATATAGCCGTTGAACGCCATTAAAGCCTTTCAAAGAATCCAAACTAAAAGTGTTGTGGAACACAAGACTAAGAGTAATATCACATTGAGTCCAGAGCATCTTGAGTCTTGAGTAATGTTTGCGCCAAAAATCAAAAAGAAAAACATTAATAAATAAAAATATAAATACGTTCTTTGAAGCTAGGAGCAGCTAGTGGTGGAGCAATGCAAATAACTCGTGTTTTGCGTTCAGATCCACTGCTAATTCAGAGAATCTTTTGCCGTTTCAAGAGACTAGTTGATTTCTTTAACATGTGCAATTTGAATTAAAATATTAATAGTGATTACTTAAAATAGTGACATTTTTCATGTAAGCTTAATCCAAAACAATAAACGGAAAAAGTTACATGTTCACTACTTTGCGCATTGGTTTTCACATTTCTTTTTTATTTTATTTTTTAAAAAAATTCGGAGTTTGAGTGGTATGGGAAAGAATACAATTCCGCTTATCAAATTCCCAGTCCTATACATTATTAATCTATAACGTTACAACGTACAAAGTGCTCTCTAATAAAAGTTTGAACTTAATCACTCTTAATAGTTTCATTTCTTTCAAGCAGGGCAACAGCTATTTGTATCTCGGTTCCTCCTCTCATGAAGTCTCATCTCGCAATGGTTTGATTTCACTTTTCAATTCGAATACTACAAGGTCATCTACTTTTTCTTCTCCTTCTTCGCTTGTCCACCCACAATCAAGATTTAAGATAAAAGGATTTGGGTTGAGAAGGAGCAGAAGTGTTGAGAAGTATGAAACTGAAAATCTTGTGTGGAACGAAATGGGGCGAAGATACGGCATTTGGGTTGGGTGGGATATTTGGTTAGCTCTCACTGGTTCCCTCGACAGGAGTCTCAGTTGAGGAAACCTCTTTCTCGCCTGTCGGTTCCGTCTCAATTTCAGGCTCCCGCTCTTCTTCCTTATCCTTCTCGACCTTCTCGGAGGAATCTTCATCAAAAACTACTTCGACACCAATGAAATCTTGGTCATGCTCGGGTACACGCATCTCTTTGCCAGGATTAGCAGGTAACACCATTGGGACATCTCCTTCAAAGGAGATGATTTCTGAGGGTGAACCCATTTGGGGGATAGCGCTACACAAAGACCCGAGCAAAGGGAGTTGTTTAGTGCCAAGATGCATCAACCCATTCTTCATCGCTTCATGCAGGATTTTTCAAGGATGCGGTTTCACGAATTGTTGTAGCCAGCCAGCATTGATCGGCTTTCCAGATTCCATCCTTTCGAGAACGGCAACAGCCACGCCATGGTTGCC